CAGTGGTATTCTGTTGCTAAATGCACAAGTGCTTAATGAATGGGGGACCGAGGGACGTGTAGCGGTTTGGTGAGACCGGATGGTCCAATCGTTGGTTTCAGACCGAGCCGTATGGGCTGTGAGGGTTTTAGACAAATGCGAGAGAACCACTTCATTCATTTTTTCATTTTATTTTATCTCCACAAAATATTTATAGCTATATTATGTTAAGAGGCATGAAAACATGTATTAAGCTAGCTTATTTTTCTTAATTTCTTAATTAATTCTCGTCCTTGTTTACAATTTCTTCCAGGGTGGTGGTCCCCCCTATCTAGCCACACTCCTGAACAGACACTCCCCATCACGCGCTCTGCGCTCCTCTGACCAAGGCCTGCTCGCTGTCCCTCGTTCTAGGTGTGGTACTCGTGGGGACCAGGCTTTCTCAGTCCTAGCACCGTCACTCTGGAAGCAGTCGCCACCCTCAGTTAGGCTGTCCCCATCTCTGCCAGTCTTTAAGAGTCACCTAAAAACACACCTCCTCCGCTTGGCGTTTCCAGAGCATGTTTGATTTTGGCCCTCTTTTATGTTGAATTTATTTCACAGTTTTCATTGGTTCACTCTATCCATTGCTTTACACATTTGTCCTGTACCAGAATGTTTCACCTATTTTGTAATTTGAATTGCTTTTATTTTTGATTTATTCAATATATTTACCTTCTACTGTACCATGTTCAGCGCTTTGGGCTTCCTGACAGGGTTGCGGAAGGCGCTTTATAAATAAAGCTTTGATTGATTGATTATTTTGCAGATTTTTCCAAGATTTCAAGATGTAAAACAGCGCTATGGTAGGTCATTATTCCCACTGCAGTAAGAGTGTATAACTCCACTGTGAAACTGGCATTTTCCTTTTTCTTGCTAACATCAGTGCTATATTCAGTACATGTGCAATACCCGGTCTGCATCCTTTATGCTGTTTCTTCTTAAAAGCTCAGTTTTTTATTATTAATTGCTGAAGGTTACAATAATAGCCTGCTGCCTTGATGTATTTACCTGTATTATTTTCTCCTATTCTCTAAGTGCATGTGCTGCCTTAACGAGTGAATTTCCCCACTGTGATCAATAAAGTCTGTTCTATTCTATTCTATTCTATTCTAGATTTGCCATTGTATCTTTAACCAGTGTTGCGTCTCTTGTGGGGTAAATATCTTGCCGTCATAGGTCAGTCTAAGACATATCTTGCAGTGTTTAGTGTCACTAAGCAGCCAAGCCCAGACAGGAACCCTGCAATTAGACTATAGAGTTGCATAAAATAAAATGTTTGCTAATATTAAAACCATGTCATTAGATTGTGTGTTTTATTCTATAACTGTGCCGCTTTAAGCCGTAACACTTTTAATTTCAGATGATATTACTGTTAGTGTTCGTCTTGGAGTTGGGCTTTTTGCAAGTTTATTTTCTACGTCATCAAGGCCACCAATTGTTTTCAACTTTTTGGGCTTTAATAGAACTGAGTTATTTCTTTTTTGCATTTTCAAAAAAACCCACTGAAATCCCAGAAGCACAAACACTTATGTGTATTTAAGAAAAACAAACAATCAACAAAAACATCTCATAACTTAATAATTGACCAGGTTTACTGTAATTAGTCCAAACTTTTGAACAGCTTTTTCTTACAGAGGAAAATATCTGGCAATGACACCTAAAAGAAACATTGGGACACTGCTTTTACATCTTTTTCATGTCTCAGATGCCAGCAAAGGTTTCACTGGATGATTTTAAACTGCTTCAGTAAAAGATGAATACTTATTATGACAACCAGGTTGTTTAAACCTGAAATTGTTTCATCTCACAGTAAATCCAGCTTTATGCCCATCCCAGGACCTCTGGTGTTGATGCACTAAAATATAAATTAAATACCAACTCAGGCTTAACTGTAGCTACTTAGGTGTTTTTTTATGTCTCCAATTATTAGTTAGACAGTAAAAGAAGGAACATATTCATAAAAATGTCCCAAAACGACTCTAGCAAGTAAAAATGAGTACTTAAACCTCTGGAAGCAGGCGTTGCAGATTTGCAACGTTAAAACCTACCTACCTGGCTACTCCACATACGTATTTCATGAGCATTTTTTAAGTCAGAAGTACCCCTGAAGGACTTAGTTGTTCGTTCTTTTATCAAAACTTATTTTGAGCCTGAGAGGGTTAACAACCTCCAATGTGGTCAGTTTTCAAATGGTTGTTTTGACGTGTCATTTTTAACATTTCTCTTCACTCTCCCAGATAATAATAATAATAATAATAATAATAATAATAATAATAATAATAATAATAATAATTATTATTATTATTATTATTATTATTATTATTATTATTACACAGCTTTCTCCTTGGGCTCCACTGAAAAAAAACTTTTATTATTATTATTGTTATCATTATTATTACTACTACTACTACTACTACTACTACTACTACTACTACTATTATTATTACACAGTAGCTTTCTCCTCGGGGTCCACTGAAAAACAAAATATTGTTAATATATTTGTCTTCAAAATATGTTTATTTAGCTGTTTCTTATATATTAAATGTGCGTTTTCTCTCTCTCTTTTTTTTTTTTTGGTCAACCCAATTTAAAAAACCCAATTGAATTTCATGTTCAGTCAGTCGTTATCTGAACCACCCTCACTAAGAAGTCGGTACCTAGATCAGGTTACTGGGCGATGCACTGGACACCCTGGACAGGTCTCCAGTCTATCACAGGGACACAAAGAGATGAACAGCCAATCACACTCTCACTAATATAGGGACAATTCTGAGTCTCCATTTAACCAAACACATTAATAAATGTTGGAGGAAACCTAGAGAAACCCCAGGAATGCACAAAGACAGCATTCTGATGTCACACAGAAAGGTCTGCAGCTAGGATTTGAACCCTCAACTTCTCACTGCAAGGCAACAGTGCTACCTTCTGCACCGCCGTGCTGAGTTTTATATTGTTTTTAAAAAAGAAGAAATTCTCATCACAGAAGCTGCAGCTACATCCCTTAAAGTTGTTTTGCTTTCTGAGCTACGGAATGTGAAAAGACTCTAAGTGCAACACTTGAGCGATGATGGTTTTGATGCAAAGCTAGACGTTTTTTGCTGCTCCACCTGAACCATTGGCAGGCTCAAATAGAAGCTCCTGACCAGCCTGTGCTTCACCTTTTATTACACCGTCCATGATGACTGGAAAAAATGAGAAAGATAGGAAAAGAAGGACTGTGTCTCTGTGAATAAATGACTCCTTTTGTGTTTTATGTGGCTCTGAGAGGGAGCCTGGCTTTACAAGTGAATGTGCAAGTGGCCCTGAGAGAAGAGGAGCAGAGAGGAGGAGGAGCAGTGTGGTTTGTTTCCTAAGGTGAAAGGTGAACACTCTCAATACCTCAATCAAAGCACTGCAGAAAGGAAAGCATATCTCAAGGTTAGACTGCCAACAGTTTCCATTTTTAAAATGAATACATGAGCCAGAAAATAAAACACATTTGCGTCAAAACCTGCCTTTAGACTCTGAGGGGCACGGTTAGTCTGAATTTACCTGCAACTTTCTTTTTCCCTTTCAAGTTTTCAAGCAACTCCAGTCAAAGTGAAAGACTTTAGATAAGATGCATCGATAGGTTTGTTTTTTTCTTCAGCAGTTGTCACAACCACTGGATTGGCTTGTCCACTGCTCTTCATAGGAGGTGCGTTTGTCCAAAAGGACGTGGGAGACACTGTGGATTTATGTGATCTTACAAGCCATCAGGTTGAGCAGAGCTTTGCTAAACATGACCTGAAGTGTGCCGGCCCCCGAGCAAACGCTGCTGTCACCTTGGCCAACCCGAGCTGTCATCTCTCGGAGCGGCCCATGAGAGCTGACAGCCGTGGCGTCCCCAAAACAAATCACTGCTGCGTTTGGTAACACTCTGCGTCCCCGCGATTTAGCCCTCACTGAGACAAGAGCAGGAGCGGCGGCTGCTAATGCCCCAGCTAATGTACTGCCTGAGTGAGCGTGTCTTTGTCCACCTATGGTGAATGTGTGCAGGTTATGTGTTTGTAAGGGTTCCTTGTACTTAAATCAGCCACTTCCTTGCTGTTAGCGCAGCAATGTTCACATCCTCCTTTGTCTCCTTCATGCATTTCTGTCCTCTTCCTGCATTTCTTCTCTTTTATATTTGTCTGCAACGAGTGACGTGCATCATGCGTGAACAAACACAACCCAAGAAAAGTTAAAAAGTACAAAAACTTGTTCAATATTTTATGATCGTTAGAATTGAAAGAATACTTTTCTGTATTTATGCCCCTAAAGACTAAATGTGGGATTTTTTTCCCAGACTGCTGCATAAAATGTCATTAAAGGTTATTTCTCTGTGATTTTAGGAAAAACTTTGTTTTCACAGCCTAATCTTGAACATGTAACATGAGAAAACCTGAGGTGAAGGTTCAAAAGTAAAATTTAGTGTAAACTGGACAAAAGGCTGAACATTCACTGTAAAAAGCTGTTTGTTTCTCATTTAAATAGAGTTCTACTGAAAGGTGTTTTTTCCATCAAAACTGTTTTTATTAAACGTGTTACACTTTTGCGCTACCCTTTCTAATGAGCGTACACACACTCTGTTACACACACATATACACTAACCTGTCAGAAACACTTTATAAACACAGATATTTGATCATTTGCGGAGCTTTTTTTAGACTTCAAACCCAAGTGGCTGAGTTGTGGTTTCCATTGATGCCATTGTTTTTATGTTCCAGTCAATGGTGACACATTCTTACCCTCCACTCGTTTTTAAAGATTAGTTCAGTTCATTTATTTTCTCCTGTCGTCTTGCATTAAAATAAAACCATCATGGCTGAACACAGAGCTATCAAAACTGTTAGAGGATTCATTATCCAGCAGACATTTTTGGAATTCATTATTTTGTCCAGCATTATGTGGAATATTGCCCAAATGTTTGCACGCCGTTCACCTTTAGCTAATCCTTTCTGTCTTGTTTTGTTTGCCAGCAAATGTTTGGAGGAGAGGCTTTTGTTCAGCTACACAGATGAACAACAGGAAGGAGGACATGGAGATCTCATCTCACTACCGTCAGCTCCTCAGAGAGCTCAATGAGCAGAGGCAGCACGGCATCCTCTGTGACGCCTGTGTCATTGTGGACGGAAAGATCTTCAAAGCCCATAAGAACGTCCTTCTGGGCTCCTCACGCTACTTCAAGACTCTTTACTGCCAGGTAACTCCACTGAACGATTTCATGATGATTTTCTCTTCTAAATGAGCAAACCTGTCAAGAAACTCCTTCTGTTGTCCTGCAGGTTAAAAAAGGGGCAGAGCCTCACCATCAGACCACTGTCACGCATCTGGACATCGTCACGGCGACAGGCTTCAAAGCCATCCTGGACTTCATGTATTCAGCCCACCTCGCCCTCACCAGTAAGAACGTGATTGAGGTCATGTCGGCTGCCAGCTACCTGCAGATGACAGACATCGTCCAGGCCTGCCACAGCTTCATCAAGGCCGCGCTGGACATCAGCATCCGCTCTGAGATGGCTGATGAGCTGGCCGACTTCGAAATGGGAGCTGTTGCTGCAGGTTTGGGAGGAGGTGGAGGAGGTGGAGGAGGAGTGGGTATAACAGGAGTGGGAGCTGTTCCAGGTGCAGGTTTAGGAGGAGGAGGTGGGATAGTGGGTATAGCCTCTGAAGCCTTAGCCTCCATCATTTCAGGTCGCAGCACCTCCCCCTGGCTGGCACGTCGAACTAGCCCGGCCAACTCTTCAGGAGACTCAGCCATCGCCAGCTGCCATGAAGGAGGCAGCACCTATGGGAAAGAGGACCAAGAACCCCCTAAAAGCCATGAGAGCCACGAGGAAGCATGCCATGACTCCCAGCCCGCCTGGCCACACGACTATCGGCCCATCAGCGTCAAGGAAGAACAAGTGTCCCCTGCCTCCTCCTCTCATCCAAGGGACACTCTAAAGGGAGCAGCCCAAAACCAAGTGGAGCAAGGGGCTGTGGGGAGCAGTGGTGGAGCTGGAGAAGGACCTTGGCCACCACTGTCAGGGTCAGGACGGAGGAAGAACAGGAAGAACAAGGACACGGTCAGACACATTACACAGCAGGCTGAGAGGACTTGGGACCGACTGCGGGACAGAGACAGAGACCGGGACAGTCGGCCTGGCTCTCCTCTGCCCTCTATGCTGGCTGTCACTGGATGGAACTACAATGGGCAGGACATCCCAGGTAGGACTGGTAGACCTTTCCTAGTGTTCACTCTATGTTTACCGTAACGGGTTCTGGGTGGGTCAAAAGAAGAGTTTTAGGGACCTCAGATGCAGGTCGGGTTTGATAAATGTGAGGAGTTGCTTGTTCTTGTGCAAGCTTTTAGTAATCCTGTAGTCTGATTACTGAATGACCAGTGTGATTATCAGATTAGGTTAGATAAATGAGTGAGACTATCGTATCAGCACCCAACTGTAGCAAAACCTAATTTATCTCCTAAAAGACTTCTAAAGACCGCGGCTGGGAGTAGACAGACTGCTCCACTGACTGTAATGCTCTCCATAAAACGTCGAGGGTCACTCGGTACAAGTTAGCCATCTGCAGGAGTTTGCTTCGAGAAATTGACCTCTTTTCCTCCTCCGGGGTTGAGATTAGTGAGCTTATATGCTAACGTGTTAGGCCTAGCATGATTATCTTAAATCGTGAAGGTGTGAGGTGAAGCCTCAGTAAACGCAGATGGATAATACAATCCTCTCTTTTCCTGCAGTTTATGTAAGCCACACTCCCCCATCGTCAAGCAAATATGAACACAAACTCACTCGTGAATGCAAATTTATTTTGAGATTTCACTCTTGATCTTAGTAGCCTTGCAGATTGCTTGGTGAGCTTCTTCACTCTAAAAACTTATACATGACAAATGTACCTGTGTGTGTTTGTGAGGCTTTTGAGTATGTTGTGGGCCCCAAGGCGTCAATAGGTAGATTATTAAAAGTAAGAGAAGCTAATCCTGGGCGCATTAAGGGAGTTGGCTGTGAAATGGGCACACACGTCGTACTGTGAAAGAAAACAGGATAATTGAATTGACCTGGGTCACTGCACGGATTACCAGCACGTCCTCGCCATCCCAAGCTCCTCCCTCTCTCTCTGGGGTTTAGGTAAGGACCTTCTGGAAAGGGCGTGAAGAGGGAAAAGGAAGAGAGAGTGTTAGATTGGAGGGGTAATTAGAGAGACCAGAAAGACAGAGGAACAGAAAAGGAAATGGGAACTGAACCCTTTTAGGCTTATGATGGCTCGTCTTTGCGACCTTATGTGTCCTCAGTCCCAGATTTGATGACCTGCAGTCAGACCTTATTACTGGGTCTGAGTACATCTTGTCTCCTACTGCAGAATCACTCAGTCTCATGCATACATACGCTGCTAACTAAATGGCCCTTTGAAGCCTTTTGGGCAGAGTTATGGTAGAAATTAGGGATGCACCGATCAGGTTTTTTGCTGCCGATCACCGATACCGATATCAAAGAATGCTGATCACCAATACCGATCACGTGGATTGGCCAGAAATTTTCTACAACATTATAATGAGTGTTACAAACTACATAATCTGGGAATAAAGGAAATGTAACCTAATCTAAAATGGTCTGTATTAGGATTGTCACGGTGTGATAATCTAACCTCACGGTTATTGTGACCAAAATTACCACGGTTTTCGGTATTATTGCGGTATTTTTTTTAAACGTGCTACATTTTCACACAATTAAATAAACCCTGTATGTCAGGAAATATTGTCCTCAGTTTGTGTCTAAATTTTGCCTAAAATGTGTTATTTTGTAATTATGTTGTTTATTTGTTTACATTTTTTCCCTTTAGTCTTTAAAATACCAATATTTGCCCATAACTTCTTATTTTATGTCTGTTTGATGTCATCATTTTAAAAATCTTAGATCAGATGATACTCAGTACTCAAGTAGTCTTCTAATCAGATACTTTTTTTTACACTTACTTGAGCAATCCGTATATCAGGAAAATATTGTCCTCGGTTTGTGTTCTTCCAGTGAGCTTTGCAGATGTGGGAAAATGTCATCAGGCAGTAATCGTTGTTAAATTCATAATTATTCTCGGAGAGAGACCAACTCTTGTCTGCCCATGGGAGCCCCGTAATGCATAGCGTCATTTCAACATGGGGGTGTCCACGACACGGTTTATATGCAGGTAGAGGCGCTGCGGCTGCTTTATATAGCGACTCGTTGCATTCTCCCTCAACCCAAATCCTCGGATCACGCATTTTAGCTAAAACGCTAACGTTAGCTTGCCTTGTGTTGACTGTAGAGTTGTGGGTGATGGTCACGCAGATGTGTCATGAGATTTGAAGCGTTGCTGCCTTTCACAGACACTTTTTCTGCACGTGCTGCAAACAGGATAGCCGTCTTCTATAAACTCCCTCGGCATTCTTCAAATATCTAAAATATGCCCGTACTTCCGACTTTGTCTTCTTTGAGGGATAAAAAATGTCCTCCTGAGCGCTGCCGTCTCCTCCTTTGGCCATTATTTCAGCTTTAGCTTCAATAAAGTTTTGGTTGTAAACAGCAAAGCGTGCATGTGCCGCCGGCAACTTCAGCCGATGATACGGTGGCTGGTAAGGGTCACCGCACCTACACCGCAGCCACGGTAAACCCACCAAGATAATATAGTTTTTTACAAAACAAGACGGTTATTATTGTCAACTTTTTTTTTACCGGGGTTTACCGCTACACTGGTTACCTTGACAACCCTACCTGATCGGTCTGCTTTGATCTATTTTGAAAATTCCGATCAAAACCGATAGGGGCGCTATCGGCCGATTACGATCAAATGCCGATCCATCGGTGCATCCCTAGTAGAAATGTAGAGTTTGGTGAGAAAGGGGTTTGCTCGTGTAAAGGTTTGAGGAAGTTCAGAGTTAGCTGCTGTTGTAAACTCAACTGTTACCCAATAAAACAAGCACTCATCCTTTTGATCCAAATGGAAGAACATGAGAAAAGCAGGTGTCTTTCAGGGGGACAGATTCCAGGGTTTACAGTAAAATATCATGTGACATCTTCAGTGGTTGGGTTGGTTTCTGGATGATTTTAAAACCCTTTGGAGACACTGGATAGGTTATTGGCTGATTTCTATGTTTTGAGGAAGATCTTTCACTTTTACAATGTAAAATCCAGATCTAAAACCTTCAATTACAAAAGGTCTAAAGAACATGAAATTGGCTCCTATGGAGCTTATGAGCGTTAGTGTCCTTAAGGCTTAAGTCTCTTTAAGTTCGGAATTTTGTCACATGCAGTCAATGATCTGAAATCTAAGGATATGCATGTGGAAATGGCAGTAAATAGAAAAGTCAATCACCAATCGTCACAGTTTGGATTTCTTGTACCTCGAAAATGAATACAAAAGACTGTCATATTGGATTTAGCCATAAAAAGTGTAAGCATAAAATCTTACCTTTGTTCTACACACCTGCTTAGTTTTACAGATGTAAACATGGAAATCAGCAGTTTTATTTCTGATGTTTAAACATTTTGGAAGCAGTTTTCTTAGTGAACAGTTTAAAGGATATATCTGGTATTAGATCTAAGTGTGTGGTGATGGTTAACAGGTCAACGCAGAAGAAAAGTTATTTTAATTATCATAGACCATAACAACTTCGGCAATCAGAAACAGGAACAGTGTATTTCTGTTCTGGGCCTTGTCTAAGATACAGACTCTTACAGACTGCCTTTTAAATGACCAGCAAAGGTCAGATTAGAGGAGGGAAATGTTACTGGTTTCCACTCGGTTTAGCCTTGAATTGTAGGGAATCACTTTTCTTCTGATTAGAAGACCACCATACCTTTGCAGTTAAACATTTTCACCAAAACAGAGTCTTACTATACAGTAAAAAACACAGTAATTTCTATCAGTTTCCTCCTTAAACTCAATTATTTTGTGTCGGAAGGTCCAAAATCTTCTTTCTGAACCTGCAGCTGAGCATCTCATACGTCACAGGCTTTAATCTGCCATCCTGTGCTGTTAGACGATTATACTCCTGATGTAACAACAGATCTGGTCACAATAATGAGGTCATAGCATCAGTTTTATCACAGTTTCTGAGTCTGTGTGGAAAAAGTTGTTCAGTGAGGTCCAGTTGTTGCTACTGTATGGTTGGTTCCAATGGTTCTGATGAGGCGAGGGCACCTTCAGTCTAAAATTATCTTAATTGCTTCATTCCTTATTGATGAGAAGTGCCTACACACGCACGCACACACACACACACACACACACACACACACACACACACACACACACACCCTCTCATTCATCTGTAATCAGTGTTGAGGAGCTTCAGAATGTCTGTGTGACATCCAACACAGAAGCTGCCTGCTGGAGGGTTTCAGTTTATTCTGCAACAAAAGAAAAAGAAGACACCGTATGTTGGTGCGAAGCCTCAAAGCATCTGTACATATGTGCTGATGTTGACCTAAACAGCTGCAGGAAGATGGATTTGTTTTCTTTACGTCTCTTCCCTCACAAACATCTGCTGATGATCATCTGGTGTCACAACTGAGGCCACGGTAGCTTTTTCTCTTGTACGCGGAAGGTTGATCTTTTTCTTTTCTTTTTTTTTTTTTTGGAGCTCACCGTGTATTCTGACACAAATCTTTGATATCTTACACGTGAAGCAGGAAAGATGTCATCAAATCGCTTGTGTGTATGTTTCTCTTGCTGGAACGTTATCGGAGGTGACATCATTTCAGGAAGAGAGTTTTAAATAGTCTGTACCTTTGTGTGTGTGTGTGTGTGTGTGTGTGTGTGTGTGTGTGTGTGTGTGTGTGTGTGTGTGTGTTTTCTTGTTAAGGCTTTAAATAATTACCTAAACCTATTTTTAGTTTGGCCCCTGCTGCTTCGGTTGCTTCTTTAAGACCTGATAATAAAAGACTAACCTTCTTCTCTGTTTTTTTAAACATCAACAGTCTGAATGCTTTTAAAGAAACATTTTTCTTAGATGCTTCATTTTAAAATCTTTTATTTTTATTCTGTTTTCAGGCAAAAAAATAATTAATTATCCACTTGGTTAATTCACTAGGAATCTATTGTCAGCTATGTTTCTGATAATTATTCATTCATGTTTACTAACTGGCTCCAAGCTTTACTCTTTTATAAATTAGCATTTTTGCTGGTGTTTTATCTTACAATGTTTACCCCCACACATGTCCAAAACACTTACATTATAAATACACACGTTATTTTTGATAAAGAGTCTTTAATCTGTTCACAATTCCCTTCACATTGTCTCCTGAGAAGATGCATTGTTTACTGTCACCACTAAAACATATTTTTATGAATGATCAGCAAGACTTCTCCAATTCAAAAGTTTATGATAAGTTTTGGTCAAACCTCCAACACTACAAAACCAAAGCCAATGTCTATCTTTTGAGACGTTTCTATCCTTGTTTTGCAGCTGATTTTAAACTTCACTCCATGCCTCTCCACTGGGCTCTGTTTTTGGAGAGGTGGTTGAATGAACTTTAACCCTTCAGTTCACCGCATCACACAAAGTAAAGTGTCAGTAAACCTTAAGGCATGGTTTTAATCTCAAAACATCTCCATTTGCATTTTGAAATAGCTATATCGACATCCATTGGTCAAAAATCAAGTGTTGAACTGTCACAGTTCTCAATGCTAACACCTATATTACACAACCTGCTGATGATATTTCTCCATCACATTTTGGGTTTTGCACCATTTTCTCTGTGTTCTTAGTAGGGTTATCTTTAAACCTAAGTCATATTTTTGTATGGCTATATGGGGACGCGGTCGGTTAGTATTGTTACCTCTAAGGAAGAAGATCATAACGTCTTTCATCGTGGAGTTTGCATGTTATTTTTGTTCATGTGTAGATTTCCTCCAGCTTCTCTGGCTTCCTCCTGCAATCTAAAAGATGCATGTGAAGTTAATTAGTTAATTAGCAACTCTAAATTATCCCTTGGTGTGGTTGTTTGTCTCTATGTGGTCTGGTGATGCACTGGAGACCCAGCAGGGTATGGTCTACCTGATGGATAGATTGACAGAAACTGTCTTAGGAGCCCCAAACATTTCATGCAAACAGCCAAAATTTAACCTTTTCTAAAGGATGTTCTCACAGACCCCAACTGTACCCAGCATGCAAAATTTGCCCTATTTTTTTGATAAAGTCACAGTGCCCCATACATATCTGACATAGTGTTTGCAGCATTGGAGAAACTGTGCACTCCTTGATGCACATTGTTTTGGTCACATCCTCCCTAAAAGAGTAGAATTTGATTTCAAATCAGAAGTTTTCAATGAACAAAATAAAGTTTTTAAAAGCTGAAAAAAATGTAGTCAAAACAATCCCAATGCCTACAGCATATAAGCATACATGAAAGTAAGAATTTAAATACAAAAATGAGGAGGTGTAAGAAAAGAAGTCTAAATGTGTGAAACTTACTTTCTGTTATGTTTGAAAACCTTAGTTTCACACACACGGTGCTTTACTTCCTTTTATTTACGAAGGCACCAGCTCTTTTAAAGTTGGATTGCCATTTTCCAAGCAGATTCTGATTATTTTCCCTAAAACTGTGAAAAAGTCACAGTGAGTAAAAACATGAGCTTGTGACTGATTTCTTCTCTAGTGTTGTTACTCTTTGGGCAAACACCAGCTTGATCTGTATCCCACATAATAACAGCTCTGGAAATACTTTTTGTTTGTGCTGTTTTCTGGTATTAAAGCACACACACACACACACACACACACACACACACACACACACACACACACACACACACACACACACA